GAGTGCTAAGCTTAAAAATAAAACATTTCAGACAAAAACAACTCATCACCCGTGTCATACTGTGTGAGTATACAGTGAGAGATTCATTTCATGCTTAACCCCATGTGATTGTGTTCTTCATTATAATACAATTAAATTTATTCAGACTTGTCTGTGTTAGCGGTAACTTTTCTCTGCATGGAAATGACGGCAATAATTTACCCTGTGGRCACAACGTAATTATTGTGTGGTCATGCGTTCATTTTTAAATAAATCCATTGTCACAGGACAGGCTCCATATTAAACAAATACGATACGTGAAATAAACAAAGCTTCTTTTAAAATGATAGTTATGGTCGAGGGTGGGAATCGACTCCAGCAGGCAGTTAGTTGTATGTGACGTTTGTTAACGGTGCAAATACTTTCAATGGTTCCTAACGCCCAACGATAGGAACCAAGTCCGGCCAGTAAAAAGCCATTTGTAGACCCCTACCCCCTCACACACAAACCTTTATTTTTATCATCCGTAACCACATAGACAATTGCTACCCCCCCCCCTTTTTTTTTTTTTTACAGAAAACAGACAGAGTGCAGGAGTACAGCAGTTTTGGGGGTGGYGGAGTTTCCACTCGACTGAACACATGCTTCCCACGTGACACGACACACTTCCCCACACGACTCGTTCAAAATGGAAACAAACAGCTCCTCAAGATCCAGATCCCTTCAAAGAGCCATCTGTACTACGCAGCTAGCCGAAACAGCTCATGCTAACAGTGATGAGTTAAATTAAATGACCTGTAAATATACAGCCATTACAACAAATAGAAAAATTAATTTTGCTAGWTGGTTTTATGTCCAGTGCCACCTTCAACAAGCCACTGCTGCCTGCTAGCTAAAATGACTAATGCTATACTAGCCAGTCAGATTTTTTTAATTTCTTAAGACTTTTTAAAGTTGTTATATACTCTTATTAGTTAATTGTGTTTTCATTAGTATTTTATGATATTTATTAGGTACTGTTTACGATTCCATCTTTTTAGCCCACAATAAAATACAAACATTAACTACAGCTTAGCTTTACAAAGATTCATTCACCTGCTTAAGGCAGGTTTCTTTTCACAAACCTAATAACTAGTTCACAGAKATTTATTTATTTAGGGTCTAATAACTTATTTAAAGACAAACAGGGTGATAACACCAAGCTTGGGTACTGGGTCATGTAATTATATTTGATTGGGGTGATAGACGAACCATCTGCCACTCGCTGCTAAAACTGAGCAGGTTTTTTTTTAAAGATCAAAATGATTTTGTTGAARGTCTTCTGTTTGACCTGTACAGCTTTATTACCCATCAGTCACTTCTCAGGACASTGATTCGCAGTGAAGGACTGTGTACTGCCTGGATGGGCAAGGTATCAAAAATACAATATAATAATAATAAAAAAGAAAATCATCAGACTCGTATTGAAGTGCTGGCTGTCAGCTCAGGCAGACGATTGGCAGCTTTGCTTCCTAAATCTGACAGCCAAAACCAAGAATCAGACAACCCTGTCAGAGTCAGCCTCACTAAAATGTGTCCTGTTTTTTTTTTTRCCTCAGACAGAAAACTACAAATCAGATTGAGAAGAGCTGAGGTAGGAGTGTTGTTGTGTGTAAAAGTAAGTGCTTACTCATCCTGGGTCACTCTAGAGCAAAAGTGATTACAGAGAGGGAAAACATTCCCCGTTCGACTGCAGGTAGTAAAGTTATCTTTTGTGAAAGGCACAAAAGGCTCCTTTTATTAGAAGTCACATTTTATATTTTCATTTATTAACTAYAGAATGGAGGGGGGGAAAGGATGTCAACAGCCCGTCTGAAGGAGAGATTAAATCGAGTTTGAACGACTCATGAGAGGCAGATTGTAGAGGCTTCATGGAGAATTAYCCCTAAATGTTTCAATCATCTCACTTCTCTTAAAGCAGACGGGTTTTTTTCCTTCAAAGTTTTCTTGACAAACAAACAGCCACCCAAGAGTCGTGACTCTCAGGAGACAACTCTTATTTGTGTTGACACGAGACAATAACTTGTATTTCGTGTCAGAAAGAACTGCAGTCTTTATCTGATGCGTTAGTTTTGTTTGAATGTGGAGGATGGGCTCAGCTTACAGCCTCTTGTCAAAACTTCCTACCAGTTTCTAAAGTGACCCGATCCAGATTTTTACCATTTTATTATCTTTTATGTTTTCTCGCTTTATCCTGAATGCCACTGTGTGTGCAGACTTAAATTAGTATCAAAGAGGAGACAAATTTTAGGAAAACTACTTCCATATGTTTAATATGGCCGCTCTCGCTGCCTATCAGTTTAAAAACATACCCACAAAATTATAACTTTATGTAAATCTATCCATACACCACTTCACTCATTTGGTGCCATATATTGCACCAGTTTAATGCTTAATATCTGCTGTGATTTTAAAAATGCTGGTTCGATTAATTTATTTGGAAAAATGGTAAAATTTGATGTGTTGAAAAAAATATGAAAATACATAATAGGCATTTATACAAGCTGCTGTTTGAGTAGTTGTAATCAAAAAAGAAAAAAATTGTATAGGTCTTCTGGACGGGTTCTTCTCTAATGAAATGTTTCGTCTCTCCTTCAAGAGACTTCTTCAGTCCCACTGACTGAGTCCCACTGACTGAAGAAGTCTCTTGGAGGACA